TTGAGAGAAATTTTATTCGAGTCGTAGTTCAGACTTCAGTGAGTCTGTATGATCTACAAGAAAAGTTTAATCTAAGGAAGAAATCAAGCTCCTCGAATTTCTCTGTTTCTTTTATACCTACACGGGTACAAAATACAGTGATGAATAGATAAAAACGGTGCGGCATTTTCTTAGACCGTGGTCTAATAAGTTACCGTCGGTTAACCACGCGGTATACCGACGGTATTTTGTTGAACCTGCGGTATTTTAGAAAAAAGCTCGATACGGGAAGAGAGCTTTGAAAAGTAAACGGGCAGTTTTTCTCGGCTGATTCCATGGCCAGAAGGCTAAAAATATTCATTAAACCAATGGCAGTCATCTATTTGCCTATTTATTTTACTTTATATACTTCTGACATGCAGTCCTATGTACTTCTATGTCTGATTTATACACAAGTAAAAATCATATTTTCGATCTTAAGGTTTATCACATGCATCTGTTTCCTGTTGTTCTAGAAAAGGAACATTATGCCATTCAAACGGAGAAAACTGGGTTTTAAGCGGTTAATAAATTAAAGAACTAGAATTGAAACTGCTGTGGTCGAATGTAGTAGGCCTCTAGCATTCGAATAGAGGTCAAGAGGGAAAAGATGGATCAAGGATTCTGCATGGATCTCTAAATATCCGAAAGTTGTCCTAAGAGTACAAAAGTCTTCTATAAACCTGTTACACGTTTTAAACAGATAAGTAGGGCGAAACGAATATTTCGCTCCGCGAACCCATTGCGATATATTTTTCGTACTTTTTTTAGAGTAAAACAAGTTTGAAGGAAAGCCTTATATACCATTCGATGCAGCTTTAAACGGCGACCAAAACTATCTATTGCTTAATTGTTATGTACACTGTGAACATCCACGTTTTTGGAATATTGCTGTTAAAAATGACCCTTTCAGCATAGTCCGCGATAGTATTTCTATTTTTTCACCATGAGAGACCCTAGACTGCGGTCTACATTATATATCCAAAGAACGCTCTTTCAAAACTCTACAAAATAGCTGATAATTCCTTTCTAGTTGAAAGTGCGAACACTCACTTTTACGGATACTACTACTGGAGAGTGATGTTTTCGGCATTGACGGTAGGCTCAATCCATATAAAACCTACCACCATTTACATCGACCTTCGACGGCAGTGACGAGACCTAACTCATGTTACAGAGCTCAGTAAGCTGAACCGAATGGTGAAAATCGCAAGTCTCTAGCCTTGTTAGAAAAAAATGATAGCTATTTCACCCTCGCAGCGGAAAAAATGCATTTTCCGGTGGATTTGACCTAACTTGTAGACCGTCTGCTGACCACATTCCCTAACTTAGAACCTTGAAGTTGGTATCAAATGAAAGAGCGCGTCGAGTTCTATATATTTCGATGAAGAAAAGTTATGCTACATCTCGGGGTCCTGAGATAGGGACTTTTGAAAAAAGCCGTTCTCTAGAAAACCTAATGACCTTAAAATTTCTTTCAGAAGTTTTTCAACCATATCATTAGATGGCCCCTTCAATTCTCAGCAAAATGAGATGCTGGCCAAGTTTCTACGATCTTGCGCGACGGAGTTTTAGGCTTTTTAACATTACGAATATAAATTCATTCGCGTTAATGCCGTTTTTGATCTGTATCGTATTTTCTAAAAATTCCATTACCTTACCGTTACTATTACCATTACATGGTAATGGTAATGCTAATGGTATAAAAAGGATTTTAATTCCTGGTAATAGATGGTAAATGGTAACAAAAATTTAAATCATGGTAACGGTAATCTTCACTTATTATTGGATGTATGAGATTTTTGACAGCCATTAGATCCGAAGTGAATTTCTTATCTTTCACCCATATTTCCACGCTGTTTAAATATCCAACATCTTCTTAATTAAAAACACGTAGGATGTACGTTGAGGCTGTTGGTACTACATGAAGCCAAATTTGTCAGATGGCTGTAGTGGCAACTGACCTGTAATCAACTGTATGATATGATTATCAAGACAGTTAATATCAGTTAACAAGGTTATATTAACCAAAAGTAAAATTTTATTTATTGGGTAATTTCATTTGTTGCTTATTTCATTTTAGACAGTGTCTGTGCTTTCTGATTCATTGTATGAAACGTTCAAGTTGAGAAAAGTATTTATCCAAACAGAGTTCTCAAACATATCAAGCCATCCACTAGGGATTTCACAGTGGGACACATTAAGTTCTTTTAGTCCCAAACTGACAATTGTAGCAATATCCCTGATTCCTAATTTATTGCAGGAAACATCCATGCTTACGCAGCGTATTTTGCAAAGCAGAGTTCGGCTTGTCCATGTAACGCGACACTTCGCTGATCAAGTTTATAAAAAAAAGAATTTTCGCTTTCGAAAATTTTGAATACATCACTAGATGTAATTTTTAATTCTAAGAGCCCGTTTAAAACGCTTTTTTGATAAAAATTGCTTTTTGAGTCTCAAAACCGGTTTTTGAACATTTCAAAAATGAGATTTTCTATTTTTAGCATAGAAAATTTTCGAAAAATAAATTTCTAAACATATGGTTTCGTAGAAAATTTAATTCTCTACAAAATGGAGTATTTGGTTTTGAGCTTCAGCGCTTTAGAAAATTTGTACATATTTGTACATTTGCCGACTTAATTTACAGTTTTTGACCCTCCAACCCGAGGTAGCGACTTTATTCTTGCGTATATCGGCTAACTGTAGCACGAATAATTATATGTATGAATATCAGAATCTTCTGATCATATTAGGTCCCTCAAAAACGCTCGATAAAAATAGTGCGTAACACCGTTCCGAAAAACGTAACGCCGTTACGCTCATGTTTTGATGTTTTTGCCTTAACTGAAGATATTGGAAAAATTCTTTTTATTACCATCGGATAGCCCGTTCTGTGCTAAAAACTTTTCATAATGACCTGTACCTTTGTCGGAATTCACATTTTTGTTGATAGCACTCGAAAAAAAGGGTCTTCTTTCGTAACGCCGTCACAGCCTACAAAAAACGTTCTCAAAATTCGAGACTTCATCCAAAAAAGTTCATTTTTATACCGTAAATGAGGGTCGACGAGCTGCATCGAATGGCGTTTAAATGAGCTTTTTAACTATTTTAGTTTCCGAGATAATTCCATTTTAGTGCGTCCAAAACGTAACGCCGTTACGTTTGGACAAGCCGAATTGCTGTCTCCAAACGGAGTAAGGCTTCCTATAGAAAGGCTACAATTGTACATATTGAGTTCTTCTAGTCTTAGGCTAGCAATTATAGTCATATCTTCGGTTCCTAATTGTTTGCACGAAACACAAAGTATCTTTCAGAGCAGAGTTGTTGTCTCTAAAAGTAACAAAGTTTCCTATAGAATAGTGACAGCCGATGGTCTGCTCATGAGTTTTTATTTCTTGATGTACTTGAATTTCTTTCATTTTTTCTTGTTCTTGTACATTACGTTCAATTTCTTTTCCAGTATTTTTTATTTTTCTTCGAAAAAATGGCCTCTAAAAAAAACTGAGATGTTATCGACTGTGTGCCGCAAAATGGGTTATTACTACTGAAGAAGTGTGGCAGCAGGGTTCTGATATGGAAGTGTTAGAAAATCAAGTAAAAATTTCTTTTATTTCTACCACTTTGGAAAAATTTGGGGCAACGTCCATCCACTAACAAAATCCTGGTTATAGCCCTACTAGTGTTCTATCCTAGCTACTAGTGACGTATACGCCACTAGTAGACAGCTCGTTTAAGTCGTGTAGTATAGATGTGATCTTATAAACTCTACAGAAAAAACAGAATATTAAATCCGATCAACGCTGAATGCTAGAAGGAAAGTAACATCACTCTATCTCAACGATAAACATTAACTTTTCTAATTGAAAATCGTCTCGCCTTGTACAGAATTTTGAGCACTTTTCAACTATGTATTCAGCAAGTTAAGATTACCTTTCCTTAATTAGGTTTACTCTAAACGAGACAGTTGTTCATTCTTCTGCATCATTTGACGTGAAATTTAACGAAAAAGAGAATATTGTCGACAAACAGTGGGTCTATAATTAACAGTGCTATTTTTCACATATTTGTTTCTATCAAGAATATCCTCTTTGTTTTTTACCGAGATTTTTAAAAGATTTTCACTATTTTTCGTATACTTCGTTTTTCCGAAAAAAACATTTAGAATTTTAGAAGATGAGATGGGGTATAAAGTATTTGTGATGAAAATTTAGGCTCGATAGGACCTTTCCTTTCACCTTACCAACAGGGTGAAAAAAGAGGGGTACTCTTAAAAACATTTCTGTAATCTAGTTAAAACCTTAAGTAATGCAATTTACCACGTAGCAACATATGTACCCTCATATCTGTTTGCATATTGCGTAGTCGATGACCTTGTATTCGAAAGTAATTCGCTAAATAATAATAATAGTAAGGTTTGGACTCAACTGAGATACAAATTATATTCTCAACTGAGATACAATCCATGTTTTAATCAAGTATCTCAGTTGAGAATATCTCAGTTGAGAAAGCAATATTTCTGCAAAAATATTCGTTTCTAACTGAGATACAATTTTGACACGTGCGTTGAAACGTGCTATTGTGCAAGAGTACAGTGTACTAATGAAATTAGGTATATGATGTATCTATATTAACTATCTAAGTAGTTGTACGCAAAGTGGCGTGAAAGTCGCTGAAATTCTTGTAGATCAATTTCATCATTCACAAATGCATTTTTGGCAGAAACTAAATGAATATCATGTTGAACATCTTGTTTTCTCCTTTTTCTATTCGTCCTTCCTTGTTCTTCTTGTTCAACACGTATAGCTGTTATTTCTTCAGCTTTTTGTATGTTCATTATCCAATTCCAAATGCTTGGATGTATTCCTATATGTCTGCAATTGAGATACAAAACTATAAAACTTGGGAACTACTGACATTCAGAACTTACGCATTTAACTGTCGATGGTAGCCTTCTACGTGATTATTTGTACGTGGCCTTTCTCATGCTCACAAATCTACCTGCAATATCATCTAAACTTTTACCTAGAAATCGAATTGCATCGGGAGAAGCAAAACCTAAAATTTTATCATTTCCTGGTGTATCACAAAATAAAAAAGATTGTCCTATTGATGTGATTTTTAAAGGTGGAGGAACAACAATCGACGATATTGATTTTGGCAGCGGTGGCAAAACTGACTGTCTTTTACGATATGCTGTTGGACGAATATAATCAAAAACCTATTACTATTGAATAATAGACTTTAGTACACTGCACTCTGCACAATTGCACGTTTCAACGCACGTGTCAAAATTGTATCTCAGTCGAGAAAATCGTGAAGTCCATATTTTATAAAATGTATCTCAGTTGAGAAACGAATATTTTCGCAGAAATATTGCTTTCTCAACTGAGATACTTGATTAAAACATGGTTTTGTACCTCAGTTGGAACGTTACGAATAGTCATAAAACAGAAACAAAGAAATAAATAGTTTCATAATGTGTATCAAATGAATTTTCTGTAATTTTAAATTTATGTTTAATTGCTTCTGACACAACAGAAAAAAAATGAAAATCAGATACATTGAAAGAGACACACACACTGACGTGTGACACATAAGAATGATATGAATTCTGTCGTATATTCACATGTTAAAAAAAGAACCATAGTGATTATTTTCCTAGGTATACGTCACTCTTTTTTGAAGAAAAGAAAACGTGACGAAAATAATTAAACGGAGTTGAGAATAAGAATTTACAACATGTATAATTTGTATCATAAATAATATCAGTATAAGCTTTTTAAACAATTATTTTCGTCTGCTTTTGTAGCATTTTTCACGGGTCATCGATTCCACTAAAACCTGTGTGACAAAGTTTCATTTGAGTTGAAGAAAGTGAAAAATGGTCAAAAACTGAACAGAGATTATTTTTCTCGCAACAACATATTGATTAAAAAATATAATAATAATTGCAGCTGTTTTGAACTTCATACATTTTAAAAATGACCGGTTAAAGGTCGAAATATCAACAAATAAAGGTATGAAGTTCAAAACAGCTGCAATTATTATTATATTTTTGACTCGAAAGTCGTTGCCCTCGTACAGAGATTTTAACATATTGATTGGTCCTGAATAATCTTTTCCGATGAAAAAGCTTTTGAGGTTGACGTTTCGAGAATCGTTTATTGGATTCCTTATGGTCGACTACGTCCGGCATCGTTTACGAGCCAAGTTCAATTTCTCATCGCGGTGTTTGGAGCTGTTTCGTACAACAGTAAATCTGATTTAGCTCTTATTCGAGGTCGAACAAATACCGCAACGGTTGTGGAATATCTCAAAGCTGCGTTTCATTCACACCGCCGGTCGGTAAAAAATTATTCTTTCATACATGATCGTTCTAGATGTGTCATACGAGGCTACATCGACAATGTTCCGAATGTCTGTCGTCAAATCATTCGAAATAATGGCTGGGATGGTTCTCGACGTTGAATCTTTGTGAAAATATCTGTGCTCTAGTGATTTTCTTCGATCGAATTGTGATACCGATTCCTGCTACCGACTAATCAGTGATGTAAATAAATGATGACACTGTCGAGAGACGTCTACGTGATAATTGAAGCAACTCGTAGCACACTGGTGATGAGGGATAAATGGGATTTCAAGAGAGGATTTCAAAGCCTACAAAGCTGTCTCACTCTTGTTCAGCCAGTTCATTTAGCAAGAATGATAATTAACAGAGAAAGAGCAAGAAAAGTGTGAATTTTTCTACTTGTAAATGTTACTCATGTTCATTGACTTGCAATTTTAAGTCGAAGAAGAGGGTATATGGGGTAAGTGAAATAGTCTATGTTGTAGAGCATTTTCGGCGCTTTCAGAATCTGTATTTACTTGGCTGACGAGATTTTATCTTAGCTGTGATATTCTCAAAGTGCGTAGCAGAAAGACGAAAAAAAAGTTGATCGCTCTGGAATGGGTTCGTCGAGAGGCTCTCTGTCTACTCTTGTATTCCGTTCAAACAAGAAGCTGTGTAAGACCGAAACGCACTGCTCGATAGAGAATTGAATGGGCTATCCAATGGTATATTTGGTTACCCCTTGATGCTGAGTTTTGGTGGAAAAAGATCTGAAATACACTTGCAAACTTTTGCTTTCCAGGGGTATACATGCATATAGCGTTAGCTATTCAGTTAGTTAATGGAGCGCCAGAAATAACGTCATGATCGTACTAGAATGAAGGCACCGAAACGATCTTTCTAGTTTCCAGCTGAAGCGCTAGCATTTTGTATATAAACTTAGTTTAGAATATATTAAAAAGACATTTTCATCTTTATGAGTAGTATGGTTTTTCTGAATCAGTTTGCAAAATAGTCTGGAGTTTGTCTCGCAGAACGACCTCAACGTGCACCACTAGACTAGTATTTGTGTACGTTGTCGTCTATTTTCTGGGCGGAGTGATTTTTTTCCTTTACGCAGTAGTATACCAAAGACGTAGGACTTTTGTAATCACGTCACTGACGTAATTACCGTTGAGGCCGTTGTCAGCTCTACAGCTCTTGTCTCACTCAAAATTTCCAGAGTGTCTCTCTAGCTCTTAAACTTCTCGAAAAAACTGTGATTTATTGTGTCAGAAATGTTATTGTATAACGCTTGGACAAGCCGTCTGTGCCTTATCTGAATTTAGAGCTCACGTACTTGATAACTAACGACAAGGAAAGAAAAGGAAATGTTAAGCAAGATAGCGTGCAGATACTTGGTTTACTCGCAAAAAACCGCCGTTTTGCAAGATATACAATCATTTCACGTAGCTGTGATGAGTATGTCTTCGCATCATCGATACTCACAATGAGGAGTAACGCAATTAAAAGAGAAAAAAGCGTCAGTGTGCGAGGAATCATGGCCCTTGATTACTAGAGCAAGTTTAAAACTAAGTTTCAAATGGCAGATATAATTTTTTGTTTAATATGGCACAAAAATTATTTATAATTTGAATGAGGTTAACGAAAAACAAATCTTTGTTGTCGATCAGATCATATTGTATGCTGAAGTATTACAAATATTTGAATTTTTTTTAAAAATATGTGTAATCTGATAACAAGATATATGGGCTGCATTGCTGCTAAACAAAACGATTAAGAAAATATCAACATTTATTTTGTATTAACGTGATTTGTTTTCATTCCAGCATCAAAATATTTAAATATAGTGCTAACAAACCTTGTCAGGATACCGCCTAGTGGAGCTGAAAGGCGAAACTTCCTTTTCTGATCGCTACGTGTGGTCCGAGCAAAAGTGAAATATCATAGTAATGAAGCCATTTTTGCTTAAATCACAGAAAATATACGAAGTGGGATGGTAACGAGTGATTTATTCAATTTCGTACCACAATGTATTACACAAGACGATTCGATACTACCATCCATTTCAAAATATAATATACTTCACTATTCTTTTAATAACTTTTAAAGTATATTATATTTTGAAATGGATAGTAGTAGTCCATCTTCTTTCATTTCATCTTGTTATTTTATCTAATGGATTTAAACTAACAAAAGTTTTATTACGATCGTAGCATGCTTATAGAGCTTAAAAGATCAGAAACGCCAGTGATCATAGAATTCAAAGTTCTGTAGCTTGTTTAGTGTGAAGCATGAGTCGTATGCTAATTTCCGTCTACAATGGTTCGATCACTAGAAAAAGATGCTATTTCACATGTATTAATAACAATGTTGTACATTCCCTCCATTGATAATTATTCTTACAACGGCTGAATATATTGTGAGTGGAGTAGGATCATATTAGTTTGACAATAGAGTTATATAAAAAATAGAAATGCTTGATTATGCAGTAATGGTTCGTAAGGACACAAAAATATGATCTTTATTCAATAAAGCTCACGTAATAATAATATACAACAGCATACACTTCTATAATGTAGTTTTTTGATCTATTTATTAAATGGTAGGAGTTTACTTGCGTAATAGATTCGCATGCTGCTAAACGCTTTTCAAATATGGCTCTAGTTATTGAATTCGTAGCATAGCATAGGAACGCTGCATGCGAAAGAACAACCATCTGGAAGTTATATTAAAGCTATGTAAATAATGCAATAGTATTTACAATGCTTTCTAGTACTTATTGTCCTAAAAGTTTATTTCTAAGGTTTCCATTTCAAGTATAAATTATTCTGTTGTTATAAACTTTTGTTTTTTGATCAAATTGACATCAAGACCGAGACTATAGCCTCACTTCAAAAAACAAACACTTTTGGTGGACACTAGTAAATGGATTTTTTTCAATAAATAGCTTTTAACAATCTCATGCAGCTCTATTTTCTCATATAAGTCAATCGGCAACGAGATGAATTCAAGTCTACGGTATAATCATCGATGATCAAAAATGATTCATTTAATGTGACACAATCTGTGACTACATCCACTAAACCATAGATGCTTCAATTATCGCTTTTGAACGTCCGCCCAGATGTCAGTGTATTGTTGGGTTGTCGAATCATTTAGAAAAACTATTGTCCTTCTGAATTCCTTGGATGGTATTCGATAGAGGACACTTAGGGAGTGCTAATAGCACTCATACGTCTACAGGAATATTTATTATTGAGTAAGACTGTCTGGTAATGTTGCTTGAAGTACTTCTTTCGCTAGTGAGCATGGTGATATTATTATAAATGTTTTCCTACTTTGATATACATCTAACACTATGATATTTAACATTTCTGAAATAATATAAATTGGCACAACCTACGAAAAAAAAATCACGTATTTATCTGTTGAGGTTATTCAGCTATGGGGACGAGAATAACAGAAAACACTGATTTCAGACTCGTTTTACGACCATTATTTCCTACTGAATTCTCAAGAACTAAACCAATCGTTTTACAGCAGCTTGTAGCTGATATTGGGGACCATCGAACACAAAGAGTGAATGTTTCAATTGATGTTAATTATGTGATCGAAACATCAAAAATACTTGTATGACACACTAAATTTCATTTTTTGGAGTACTAGTTGAATTTTGCTATATCTGGATGAACATTTATGCTGAACGCTAACAATCATATGGAATCGACAGACGAATTGGTGGCCTAGGTTTTCATAAGAGAAATATTTTTGAGCAGGAATAGGTAGGCATTATTAAGAAAATGACGAGAAAATTATGGCTACAAACAAAATGTCATAAAAAGTATATTACAGTAGCTGACCATTATATTCAATCTT